TATTTTTATATAATTTTATATAATGACATTTAATTAACCTCAAATAAATAAAATAATCCTATAAAATAAAAATAATTAGTAATATTATAATAATATATGTCTCGTATGTTAATAATATCCCTGGGGGCTTTGGGCTGTTTATTCTTGCCCCAAATGCGGGGCAAAAATTAACATGACACTCTTTTCAGGAATAGTATCTTGTCGAAAATTTATTACTGATTTAAAAAAAAATTTTTTTAAAAAGTTTTAATTATAAAAAAGTGTTAATTATAGCCCCGGTCTTCCCTATATATGACGATATTAAACATCATTACTGTAATAATACTGATATAAGTTATTATAGTGTTTATACTCTCTTCATGCCATTTCCGGAAAAATATACAAAGTAATAGCATTAACAATCAAAATAGGTAATAACGATAGGCAATCTGTCACATATGCACCTTTTTTAAATTTTAAGCTTACCGTAATGCAATGGTATAATATCCTAACATGCGCAAGTTGAATGTACACCCAATTAATTCCACAAAACATATCTTATACATAATTGCCTCCAAATGTGAAAAAAACTTGTAATCGACACATCCAGCAACAGCTGCGACTTTAAAGACACTAAATTTTTATCCGAATATCTTACAGCGGGAACAAGTTGCATATGACAGTTGCAATTCTGCAAATATGTCATATTTAGAAAAAAAATATAAAGTAATCTTTCCACATGTTATAGTTTTTTGGCACTTTTTTCACAAAACAAAAATTACGTTTTACGAGAATTTAGTTTTAAAGATTATTTAAGAATCAACAAAAGTTGTACATCTTTTAAAGATGTGCTAACTAAAGATCCACGAAACACACTAATGAAAAAGTTAGTAAGTTGTAACATTACAAAAATGTACTATTAAAATGCACATTATACGTAACTTTTATGTGTATAATACAAGGTATAATAATTTTATGTAGATATTTATTATGTGACAGATACAATTTATTCATGTCATACAAAATTTACGTGGTTAAAGTTTTAACATAAACGATATAATATAATATAATAATTTAAATATAATAATTAAAATAAATACAAGTTAATAATTATTTAAATATTTGATCGTTTTCTTATAAATGTTTAAAAGCTGTGCAAATGTTTATAACGATAAATTGTTCAGTAATTTTACCTTAATGTTTGCTGATGACGCTCGGCGAGATTTGCCAGTTTTCTTTGAATAATGTCCTTTTTTATTTCTTCTCAACCAGTTCTTCGAGTCGCAACATTACTAAGCCGCGAATAACGCGACCAAACCGCACGCACCAACTATGTTCACGAGGGACGAAAGGCTGTAGCATAAACAAGGACTGAAGCGTAAACAGGATCTCATATACTAGAATTAAATTTGGTGTCCACGATCATTGAAAAATGGACATGATAAATGACCTATTGCGACCGTTTCATTGCCGATTATCACGTACCGATGATATTCCCCTCGTAACCTTGTAACAAAAAAATATCACCTTGCATAATAAATGCTTAACCCTTTAAGGACCGCTGGTTTTTTCGACCAAAAAAATAGGTCAACTTTGGGATGCGAAATTTTTGGCAAGTAGACTCTTTAAGGGCATAGTAGTTTGTCATTAAAAGGATTTTGAATTTTGAGAAAAAAATTTGTATTGGTCTTTAATGGGTTAAACGCTTGCTATAATGCGTCTTTCTCTAGCGTGTCTCATCATGTCTTAATGCTTTCTCCTCGCGATCTCTTCCATTCGCCAATCAATCTCCATATGTTCAATAAATTTACGTATCTGACCCTTTCAATACAAATACGAGCAATAATTTAAACCACCCTTAAGCCAGTGATTTGTAGGCTCCACGGCCTACAATTTTAAATGGACATCCTTCTTTTCGAAAAGAATGTACTGTACAGAGGGTATCACAGTGAGAGTCATCAAGGAATGATTCATTAATTTCAGAGTTTTCGATAAAATCTTCTAAATCATCAAGCTCTAAAATCTATCGGTTTTAAGATCCAACAATTTAGTTGAATGCTGTAAATTATTATTTCACCTGTAAACGTCTATTTTGTATACAGAAGGAACGCGCATTGTACTTTCCGCGAGAGCGCATAAATTACTAGTCTTTACTACTGCCTATGTACGGCAGCACGTGTGTGAATATATAACTTATTACTGAAAAGAAGTACGTTGCTGTGTCGGCTGACTGTGCACAATCGATATTTACAGTATATAACTTGTTGCATATAAAGATCAATATAATGTGTAATAAGGATAGGAAATGACTGAATAAGTTCTGTCAGTTACCTGAAAGATGTAAACATAAGTCACGTTACGTGAAAACATGATGAATTTTTTATCTGTGAAATATAGTTCCTTACATTAGAAGATATATCTTTCGTTCTGCATACTGGCACATCGTATGCTTTACATGAATTTTTGCTTTAAATATCTCTACTAGAAACTCTATTTTATCTGATATACTCTTGAGACAAAATATAAGTAAAATGTAATATACATAATACATAATTATACGTTTCAAATTAATAGGAAATTAATATTAAGATTGGATATTAATAGAAAATAATAAGAAAATAAGAGCGATTTTGTTAAATTGTATGTAGGATATAATTTATCAATACTTTAAAATAATTTTTTATTTTAACGAATTTGTTTTTCTTTAAATAATTATGAAATTGTGACAGAGAAGAGATTTACATTCATCGCATAGACTGAACTAGAAGTTATTTTTAAAAAACTAGGTATGAAAAAGACGTATCAGATTCTTAGATAAGTATTAATTTAATGCTTCTTACTTATTGAATCTGTATTCGTAGCTCATTCTTTTCTTTTTTATTTTCATTTAACATATAAAAAAACTGAAACATATAATAAAGAATATTATTTACTATTTTATAGACAAGACAAGGATTATCCTTTAATTGACACTAAAATGTGTGAGAAAAGTTCTCGATTGCCAATGAAACATTTAAAGCCTAGAAACAAAAAGTTATAATAATAATTGATAAAGTATTAATTTTTACTTCTAATTCTCAAACATGATCAAATAATAGAATGAATTTTCTAACTTAACCCACACTGATAAACCTTCCCACACAGTAATTATGAATTATCCTAACTGAATTACTATTATCTACATCAAGACCTTAACTATGCGTACTAATAGCCACCTCTACTCTAAATCTATAGTACAGAATCTAAGCATAGAATTTATACTCGTATTAATTTTATATAATTTCTATTGTTTGTTGTACATTCGTTGATGCATTTGTTATCATATATGTGCTTGTATATTTATATGTGTGAATTAGATTTAGGTATATTAGATTTATGTGTGAAACACACAATTCATATATGAAAAACTTTATATATTTTTAAATATATCTAAATAGAGAATATTACAAATACTCATATTTTATCATACAGTATTTACATTGTCAAAGTTCGAAGCATATTCAAATATGCGACTGACGTTTTAATTACCTAAAATGTTTAATAATTAATTTGTATTTTAATAAGATATTATGCATATTATATGTTTAAAATAAATTTATACCATTTTATATTACTTTTTGCGATATCTTTAGCAATAAAAAATACTAAATATTTTAATTTTATTAGAAGTTATGTTTATAATTTTCATAATGCTTACAACACCGAAAGTCTGGATAGACATATGAAATATTTTTCCAGCCGTGATTTTGATAACAATTCTTGATCGCAAGATTATTAAAATAAGACCAAGAACGGTTTTATGCGGCAATTGATACCAGTCTGTCATATAAGCTACTTCACCAACTTTTTTACACTATCACAAAATGAATCAGTTAATCCAAGGTTGAATAATATTTTAATTGCAGATAAACGTATGAGGAAAGCTTTTGAAATGGAACATGATTACTTTATATACCTGATCCGACACGAGTTCGCCAATGAAGCAAAATATGAAGATATTAAACATCATTGCTGTTAATACCATGATATATGTTATTATAGTGTTTATACTCTCTTCATGCCATTCCTGAAAAATATACAAAGTAATAGCATCAACAATCAAAATAGGTAATAACGATAGGCAATCTGTCACATATTCACCTTTCTTAAATTTTAAGCATACCGTAATGGTGTAATATCCTAACATGCACAAGTTGAATGTACACCCGATTAATTCCACAAAACATATTTCACGCATAATTGCCTCCAAATTTGAAAGAAACCTGTAATCGACACATCCAGCAACAGCCGCGACGTTAAAGACACTAAATTTTTATCCGAATATCTTACAGTTGCAATTCTGCAAATATGTCATATTTAGAAAAAAAATATAAAGTAATCTTTCCACATGTTATAGCTTTTTGGCTCTTTTCTCAAACAAAAATTACGTTTCACGAGAAATTAGTTTTAAAGATTATTTAATAATCAACAAAAGTTGATAAAATATACCGTATCATTTCTTGTAGGCAATTAAAATTGATTCGAACATAATCTTTTAAACTTTATCTTACCTCAATGCTCGCAGGTGATGCTCCACAATGTTCGCCAGTCTCAACTGAAGGAGATCTTGTCGCTCGGTGACGAGTTCTTCGAGACGTAGCATCACTACGTTGAGTTGGCCGGAAGCGTGCATCGCGAAAACCGCGGCGAGACCGCATGCACCGATCGTAATATTATTTACCACGATGGTCGAGAGACACTGCAACGTGAGCACGACCTCGTATACTGGGCTAAGTCTGGTATCTACGATTTTGTTGAAGGACGGACATGGTAAGCGGCCTGTTTCGATCGTCTTGTTACCGATTTCCACTGATATCCGTGACATTCCTCTCGCTATATTGTAACAAATAACGCCACCTTGCATGATGAGTGCGCAAATGCCCACTATAACGCGTCCCACTCTCGCGTTTCGCAGCATTAATGCCCGATCGTATTCTCTCTTCGTCATCCGCCAATCGGTCTCCATATGCTCTATAGACGTGCGTATCCGATCATTATGGTGCAGAAGTGAGCAGTAATTAATTCCGCCCATGAGAATATGGCTCGTAGGTCCAATAGCCTTGAGCCTCAAACGGAAATCCTTCTCTTCGAATAATATATATAATATAGCAGATATCACGGTAAAAGCTATTAAAGAATGACACGTTAATCGCAAGATATTTATTAAAACATTCTTAATCATTGAATTTGTTTGTAATTCTGGCCAAGCGCCTATCGATTTTAGAAACCAACGATTTAACTGTAAACTATAATCGTTGTCTCGTCTGTAATCGCTCACAGTGGTTTCGCTAGAAACGCGCTTCATAGTCGACTCATAGACGACGCGCCAAGCACTGATACTACTACTGGCTATAATCCTACTACGTTTCTCAATAAAGTAGTGGTTACGCCAGCGCCTGCGCGGACATGCAAGGAGAGAAAAACAATTTGTACGCTATCCGGCTGAGACAGAATATAATCGATACTTACAGCTACTAGTTGCACGAAATCACATGAATTGTACGAGACATCTAAACACAATTCATGGGATAGCTCGGTCAATAAAGGTAATCAAATTCGCAGTTGTTTTTGTTTAACGAATAGTATTACTTAATGTAAATTATATTAAGCAAAAGTGTGACGTTCTTTGGTTCTTTATATAACACTTCATCCGTTAAAAGTTATATCTTGTTTGTTACACACATCAAAGTGTAATATCGTTATTAATAAGACCAAACATAAAATGGGATAATTGCATAATGACATTATTGAAAAGTAAAAGATATACTCATTATAATATACCATAGAATCAGCTATATCACTACATTGATTATTCATTATAATTTGAATATTTGTTATCTGGAACTTTTATGTCATATGCATCTAGATTTTGTTATGTCGCTACCGTTCTGAGTATATTTAAATACGCAAACGATGTTTTCATGACCTGAAACAATTATAGTTGATCTTATACAGATAGTGGACCTTATACAGATCCATCTTAATGATCTTTTTGTATTTTTTACTGTAATAATTTTTAGATCTTTCTAGGCATGTATTAGAATAATAAAAAATTATAAGCAATAAAATATAAACATCCAATATAATAAATATTAAGACAGAAATAGTTAAAAGCATATACATATATATATATATTTAAAAGAAATAAGATTTTTAAAAAATTTTATTGAAGTTTGTAAAGACAAATCTGCATTGAATTTTGTTATTTATAAAAAAATATTAATACAATATTCAGATAAACTTACATCTCCAAAAGTTGCAATAGATAACTGAACCATTTTTCCGGCGGTTATCTTAATAACGGCATTTGATCTTGAAATTATTAGAATTAAATCGATCGCAATTTTATGATGTAATCGGTACCACTCTGTCATGTATGCCATTTCTCCTATTTTTTGACACTATACAAACTCTAATTTGATCTATGTTTTTACGTCATAATTTTATTTTAGACTGTATAATAAAAGAGAAAAAAATGTATATACACAGGTATGTGTATGTGTATGTATACGATGTAACTACCTGGTCTGTGAGGATTTCAGCAATGTAACAAAATATAAAAATGTTGCATGACATGGCTATGAATATAGTAAAGTACGTGAGCAAATTTTTGGTATCGTGCAATTTCCATTCCTATAAATACATATAATCATCTTATAAATAAATACACACACACACACACACACACACACACACACACATAAGTAAAACATAAAAATGTCTGTATAAAATTATTTCATTATTGCTTAATTTGTTAAAAAATATAATAAAAAATGTAACATAAGTGAAACATACACGCATACGCACAAAGATTTATTTTGCAGTTATTACAACTATTTGATATGATATCAGCATACCGTAATCGTATAATATCCGAGCATACAGATATCAGTAGTACACCCCAACAACTCGACGAGACATATCTGATGCATAATTGTTTCTATCTGCGATACAAAACTGAAATTAAAACTATTATTGTAGTAATATAATATACTATATATATATATAAAATATAATACAGGATAGGCCATTTCAATACACGCGAATATCTCGTCAGGTAAGCAAGATAGCGAAAAATGTTTCAGACCAAAGTTGTATGGCTTTGAGGGAGACATTAGATGGTGTCATTAGTTTAACCTTGAATAGAGTATAATAATTTAAAAACGAAATATTATTGCAATATTGATATTTATAATAGACATTAATTAATTGTGAGTCAACTGAGGAGAGAATACAATAAAATGGATATATAGCTTGTTCACATTAGCCACGAAAATCTGAGATTTGTCGTGATCGATTTGATCTGTACATTGAAGATGGCTCGATATGAGTCGAAACGTTTGTAATTTTAATATGAAGAATATATTTTATTGTTAAAAAAAATATATATATATTGATAGCACGACAATCCTGCTTGGCTTGTAGTCCTTTTTAATTATTTCATTTTCAAATTTTTGAGCCTATATTATATTAATTTCTTATAATAATTTAATATACTATTATACATTTTTTAATAATGTAATACCATTTTTTGTTATATGTAACTTCTTTACAGCAGAGAAATTTAAACAAGATTTTAAAAACTCCAACTACAAAACCAGTTAAACAATAAAAATAAAAAGGATATTTTTTTAATGAATTGCTAAATCGGCGATTTAAATATTACAATTTCATTCCACTCATTTGAATTTTGATGGAAATATAAATCAAATATAAAGATCAAATACATTTTCAATATCTGCAATGTAAAAATATTACCTCAGTACACGGAGATGTTGCTCCACGATGATAGCCAACTTTCGTCGCGTGACCTTATGTTCGCTTTCTGTCTCGTCAACAAGTTCGTCCAATCTCATCATCAGAATGCTTAGCTGGCCACAAGCATGCATAGCGAAGACCGCAGCGAGACTGCACGCACCCACCGTGACGGAGTTTACTATGATAGTTGACAACAATTGAAGGACGATCACAATCTCGTTCGCTGGACTGTATCTAGTGTCCACCAATTCCGTGTAGAACGGACACGGAAGCTGGTGCGTCGTTATCGTGATATTCCCGATCCGAACGTTCATCGGTGTCAGGGTGGTAATGATACTATAGGAACAGACACCGCCTTGCATGAAGACCGCGCAGAAGGCGGACACAAATCGGCCGAATTTGGCGTTTTGCAGCATCACCTCGCGATCGCGCGTCGCTCCCACGTACTGCCAATCGGCACGCATATGGTCCACGCACTTGCGTATCTTGTAGCTACGCATCAGTAATGAACAATAGTTTGCGCCGCCCATCAACCAGTGTATCATCGGACCGAAAGCCTTCAGTTTTAGATGCACATCCGGCTCAAATATGATGTATAACGCGCACGGCACCACCGTGAAGGCGATTAAAGAGTGACAGACGAATTGAATACCACGCGACAGCACTTTGCCAGCGATATCAGTGTTGGTTCCTGGCCAAGCACCGATTGGTTTCAGGAACCAGCGATTCAATTGAATACTGTACTCGCTGTCCTGTTGATACACGTAGAAAGAATGCGACATGATAGTGATTCGAACGTCGGCAAACTATTGAGCGATAATATCACGATAGAGGAAACATCACGTCATTCTTAGCGCTTGCGCATTTTTCTAACTCTTTTTTTTTCAAGGAGTATAGTTAGCTTAAGAGACAGAGTTTCAGATTTTCCAGAGTGAAGGGGTAGTAGCGATCGATACGGGTGCGAGTTGCGTTGATTAATCTGTAGTTATTGTATACCCTATCCTTTACTTAGATGCACGATAAGAAAACAATCCACATGAAGTGAGGTATTATTATATGTAGTTTACATTTTATATTATATTTTTTTACTCTTTGATATTCATAGAATTATTTCTTGATGATTAAAAATTTCTCGCTTATACGTAATATGTACATATATACAATAAGAAGTTTTTTTACCAAAAAATGAATACCGTCATTAAAAATATTATTTCAGATTGCATTTGCTTGATTTTATTTTGTGTGTATAGTGCCAAATAATATTTTAAAAGATAGTATACAAAATAAAAGGAATATATTGTTTAGCAAATATTTTAATAATATCTAATAAGTAACGTTTTCTATTTCTTGAAAAAACATTTCTGTTTTTTTTTCTTGATACGTGTCAGACAATTAATTGACATTTATTTGCAACCTTATCGGTTGCTTTATTTATTAATTTGTACACTTTGGAAAAGAATTTTATATATTTAATGTACGCAACATGTTAAAGTAAGCGATCGACGTTTTAACCACCTGTTGATTGTACGAATAATGTATAAATCATATTCTCATAAACAGATATGATAAACATTGATATTACGTTACTCACATTTCCAAAAGTAGTGAAAGACAACTCGAAGATATTTCCGCCAGTAAGTTTGATTGATGTATTGGACATAGCGATCATTAATACGATGTCGAGGCTTTTTCTTCCAGGCAAACGAGACCAGTCGATTGTGTATGATACCTCACCGATCTTCTTGTACTATTTATAGAATTGCTTTCTTAATTTTTTTCTATACAAAACATACCTAATATCCAGTAAGCGAATTAACATTATTTGTCGTCATTTTGACATCAAATGACGACAAATAATATCAGCTTAATTACACTTACACACAACTAAGAATTACTTTCTAAAATGTAATTCTGAATTTTATAAATTTTAGTACGATTAGATAATTTAATATAACAATATGTTATCATATAATAATAATAATAAGTCTTATAAAAATACTCTTGCTTATTGTGTAAAAATATATCAGATATGCAAAGGAATGCTTCGACTGTAGGGCTTTACCTTTTCGGCAACTAGTTCGCCAATATAACAAAATATAAAAATATTAAAAGTAAAAGATAGAAGAAGAACAGTATATGTTATGTAACTTGTAGTTTTTTTGCTCTCCCATTCCTGCAATATAATAATTTTTAAATTCGGGGATATACGAGTATTGTACATATCGCTGTAAATCATATACGATCTCCAACATTGCTCCGAAATAGCGATATGTTTTAACATCGTTACTCTTTGTATGATATGCATACCATAATAATATTATATCCAAGAAGACACATGCTTACTGTACATTGTACAATTTCCACGACAGATATTTCACGCAGTATTCTATCCGTTAACGATATAAAACTGAAAGATATTGAATA